TAATAACCCCTTTTTTAATCTGTTAGTAAAATGAAAAAGAAGAAAATTTTTTGAAGTTGGGTTGTTTGAATGTGCTTAAATGTGGTATAGATATTAAGAAAGAATTAAGAGTAGCAAGAATGGAAGCCAGATATCCTAGCACTGAGTGAAACAGGATTAAAAGAGGTGGGAGAGTTTGAATGTGAAGAAGTAAAAGGGTTAATTCAGGTATATGTGAAAGAGCATTGCAAAACAAGGAGTAATGGTAATATTAAATGAACACTTGAGAAAAAAGGCAGATAGAAATGCTGAAATTCAAGAATTACCTGTGTGGGTTTCAAATGGGACTTAGGAACCAGATTTTAATAAGTATTTATGCATCTGGAGGTAAGAGCAGTGGAGATTTAGAGAAAAAATATTGTGAGAGATGTTAAGTAAATATTTGGAGGAGTTTTGAATGAAGTAGGAGAATAATTGTTTTGGAAGATTTTAATGATAACGCGGGAGAGACTTTATAGATGTCATATTAACAAAGTTTGGAGTGCCAAGGGTACCTGGAGTTTACCTGGAGAGAGTTCCGGGGGTCAACGCCCCCGCGGCCAGGTCTGTGACCAGGCCTCCTGGTGGATCAGAGCCTGATCATCCAGGCTGTTACTGCTGGCTGCACGCAAACCAACGTACGAGCCACAGCCCGGCTGGTCAGGAACCGACTTTAGGTGCTTGTCCAGTGCCTGCTTGAAGACTGCCAGGGGTCTGTTGGTAATCCCCCTTATGTATGCTGGGAGGCAGTTGAACAGTCTCGGGCCCCTGGCACTTATTGTTTGGTCTCTTAACGTGCTAGTGACACCCCTGCTTTTCATTGGGGGGATGTTGCATCGTCTGCCAAGTCTTTTGCTTTCGTAGTGAGTGATTTTCGTGTGCAAGTTCGGTACTAGTCCCTCTAGGATTTTCCAGGTGTATATAATCATGTATCTCTCCCGCCTGCATTCCAGGGAATACAGGCTCAGGAACCTCAAGCGCTCCCAGTAATTTAGGTGTTTTATCTCCGTTATGCCCGCCGTGAAGGTTCTCTGTACATTTTCTAGGTCAACAATTTCACCTGCCTTGAAAGGTGCTGTTAGTGTGCAGCAATATTCCAACCTAGATAAAACAAGTGACCTGAAGAGTGCCATCATGGGCTTTGCATCCCTAGTTTTGAAGGTTCTCATTATCCATCCTGTCATTTTTCTAGCAGATGCGATTGATACAATGTTATGGTCCTTGAAGGTGAGATCCTCCGACATGATCACTCCCAGGTCTTTGACGTTGGTGTTTTACTCTATTTTGTGGCCAGAATTTGTTTTGTACTCTGATGAAGATTTAATTTCCTCATGTTTACCATATCTGAGTAATTGAAATTTCTCATCGTTGAACTTCATATTCTTTTCTGCAGCCCACTGAAAGATTTGGTTGATGTCCGCCTGGAGCCTTGCAGTGTCTGCAATGGAAGACACTGTCATGCAGATTCGGGTGTCATCTGCAAAGGAAGACACGGTGCTGTGGCTGACATCCTTGTCTATGTCAGATATGAGGATGAGGAACAAGATAGGAGCAAGTACTGTGCCTTGTGGAACAGAGCTTTTCACCGTAGCTGCCTCGGACTTTACTCTGTTGACTACTACTCTCTGTGTTCTGTTAGTGAGAAAATTATAGATCCATCGACCGACTTTTCCTGTTATTCCTTTAGCACGCATTTTGTGCGCTATTACGCCATGGTCACACTTGTCGAAGGCTTTTGCAAAGTCTGTATATATTACATCTGCATTCTTTTTGTCTTCTAGTGCATCTAGGACCTTGTCGTAGTGATCCAATAGTTGAGACAGACAGGAGCGACCTGTTCTGAACCCATGTTGCCCTGGGTTGTGTAATTTATGGGTTTCTAGATGGGTGGTGATCTTGCTTCTTAGGACCCTTTCAAAGATTTTTATGATATGGGATGTTAGTGCTATCGATCTGTAGTTCTTTGCTATTGCTTTACTGCCCCCTTTGTGGAGTGGGGCTATGTCTGTTGTTTTTAGTAACTGTGGGACGACCCCCATGTCCATGCTCCCTCTCCGTAGGATGGTAAAAGCTCGTGATAGGGGCTTCTTGCAGTTCTTGATGAACACGGAGTTCCACGAGTCTGGCCGTGGGGCAGAGTGCATGGGCATGTCATTTATCACCTGTTCAAAGTCATTTGGTGTCAGGATAACATCAGATAGGCTTGTGTTAACCAAATTCTGTGGCTCTCTCATAAAAAATTCATTTTGATCTTCGACTCTCAGTCTGGTTAGCGGCTTGCTAAAAACTGAGTCATATTGGGACTTGAGTAGCTCGCTCATTTCCTTGCAGTCATCTGTGTACGACCCATCTTGTTTAAGTAGGGGCCCAATACTAGACGTTGTTCTCGACTTTGATTTGGCATAGGAGAAGAAATACTTTGGGTTTCTTTTGATTTCATTTATGGCTTTTAGTTCTTCCCGCACTTCCTGACTCCTATAAGATTCCTTTAGCTTAAGTTTGATGCTTGCTATTTCTCTGACCAGTGTCTCCCTACGCATTTCAGATATATTGATATCTTTTAGCCGCTCTGTTATTCTTTTCCGTCGCCTGTAAAGGGAGCGCCTGTCTCTTTCTATTTTACATCTACTCCTCCTTTTTCTTAGATGAATAAGCCTTGTGCATACATCGAGTGCCACCGAGTTAATCTGTTCTAGGCATAAGTTGGGGTCTGTGTTGCTTAGTATATCTTCCCAGGTTATATCGGTTAGGACTTGGTTTACTTGGTCCCACTTTATGTTTTTGTTATTGAAGTTGAGTTTGGTGAATGCTCCCTCGTGGCTACTCTCATTATGTCGGTCTGGGGCTCCGCGCATTCATGTCTGAACCTCAATTATGTTGTGATCTGAGTATATTGTTTTTGATATGGTGACATTCCATATCAGATCATCATTGTTAGTGAAGATGAGGTCTAGTGTATTCTCCAGTCTAGTAGGCCTTATTATTTGCTGGTTTAAATGTAACTAGGCTTGGAAGGAGTTTGATAATAAGTAATGATTGTTTTACATAGGAGGATAAATAAGAACTTGCAGCATTAGGAGGTACTTAATGACAGCAGTTTGCTAGAGTATGTATTTGTAGATAAAAAATTGATGGATTGACTTATAAGACAAGCATGTATGAAGGGCTACTGATAAACTAGATCATCATAGGAGCAAGATAGGGAAGATAGGGAATTGTGTGATTTCATGAGTCAAGAAGATTTATAGATGAAGGGGCAAGGCAGTAGGAAGGATAAAAGGGAGGTGAGGCAGGTGTCATTAAGACTAAGATGCTGAAAGCATGTGGGGATAGAGTTTTAGAATTGTTGGTGTATTTTTTTATTACAGAAAGAAAGATGGGCATTAAAAATATTAGTGGAAAACAGGCATAGTTGGTTTGTATAAATGAATGGGACAAGAAAGAATGGAAGAATTATAGTGAAATAATGGTTGTTGTTGTTGAGGTGGTTTGATAATTTAGAGAGAATGGATCAAAGTAGAATGACATGGAGAGCATATAAATCTGTAGGGGAAGGAAGGCAGGGTAGGGGTAGTCCTCAAAAAGGTTGGAGGGAAGGGGTAAAGGAGGGTTTGTAGGCGAGGGGCTTGGACTTCCAGCAAGCGTGCATGAGCGTGGTAGATAGGAGTGAATGGAGACGAACGGTTTTTGGGACCTGACGAGCTGTTGGAGTGTGAGCAGGGTAATATTTATTGAAGGGATTCAGAGAAACCGGTTATTTTTATATAGTTGGACTTGAATTCAGGAAATGGGAAGTACAACGCCTGAACTTTAAAGGAGGATTTTAGATTAGATTTTGCCACCGAAGTGGCTAGTCAGGTCACTTTTTATATTGTATCTTTATATATGCTTCTAAACTGTTGTATCTGGGTGCCTCTGCAAAAACATTGATTATGTATGAGTGAGGTGAAAGTGTTGAATGATGAAAGTATTTTCGTTTTTGGGATTTTCTTTCCTTTTGGGTCACCCTGCCTAGGTGGGAGATGGCCGACTTGTTTATTTATTTATTTATTTTCTAGGTATTAGGTTGGTAGACAGCAACCGCCCAGGGAGGTACTACCGTCCTGCCAAGTGACTGTAAAACGAAAGCCTGTAATTGTTTTACATGATGGTAGGATTGCTGGTGTCCTTTTTTCTGTCTCATAAACATCATGCAAGATTTCAGGTACGTCTTGCTACTTCTACTTACACTTAGGTCACACTACACGTACATGTACAAGCATATGTATACATACCCCTCTGGGTTTTCTTCTATCTTCTTTCTAGTTCTTGTTCTTGTCTATTTCCTCTTATCTCCATGGGGAAGTGGAACAGAATTCTTCCTCCGTAAGCCATGCGTGTTGTAAGAGGCGACTAAAATGCCAGGAGCAAGGGGCTAGTAACCCCTTCTCCTGTATATATTACTAAATGTGAAAGGAGAAACTTTTGTTTTTTCCTTTTGGGCCACCCTGCCTTGGTGGGATACGGCCGGTGTGTTGAAAGAAAGAAAGATTTATTTATTTATTTATTTATTTATTAATTTGAACATGATACATTGAAGTACAAAAAAATACAGTGGTTAAGTGTAACATGCCAAAGCCCCTTGTATGCAGAGCATTATGGGCAGGCTTAAAATTAACTTAAGATTAAACTAAGCAATGATATATTCAGTGGTAAACATTATTGTAAACAGATAACAATTAAGCACAAATGAGTATTTCAAAGACAGGTCATACAGTATACTGCATAAAGTACATTGTAGAATTATTATCAGAAGAGTTAGAGACACATTAGGTAGTATTTTGGTCCTTTGTGAATTATTATTTTATTATGTATTATTATTATTATTTTATTATGTATTATTATTATTATTACATATTATGATTATTGTTTATTATTATTATTATTATTGCTGTTGTAATTGTTATTGTGGTTAATCTCAAAAAGTTATGTTTACTTTCTAGGATTCTTTATGAATTTGAGGAGGAATCACAGGGTGGCTTACACCGTACAGCTGAACCCAAGTTGGATATTACCTGTAAAACATTTGAACTTATACTGGATTTTATTTATACGGGCCGAGTCATCCTAGATAATGATAACATTCAAGACATATTACAAGCAAGTGATCTCCTCCTCATGACAGATTTAAAGGTTAGTTACAATTTTAAAATGTGTTAAGCAAAGATAGCTTACCTGAAGTTTACCTGGAGAGGGTTTTGGGGGTCAATGCCCCCGTGGCTTGGTCTGAAACCAGGCCTTATGGTGGATCAGGGTCTGATCAACCAGGCTGTTACTGCTGGCCGCACACAAACTGACGTACAAACCACAGCCCAGTTGGTCAGGTACTGACTTTAGGTGCCTGTCCAGTGCCTTCTTGAAGACAGCCAGGGGTCTATTGGTAATCCCCCTTATGTATGCTAGGAGGCAAATGAACAGTCTTGGGCTCTGGACACTTATTGTGTTGTCTCATTACACTCGTGGCGCCCCTGCTTGGTGACAGAATATAGCATTATTTTTGCCTAGAATATTTTCTAAATAATCTTTTGTTAAGCCATTCCATTTTTGTTAAACCATTGTATGTTTATACATTGTATATGTAAGATGCAATAGTGTAAGGCTTTTTCCACTAAGGTACAGACAGGCCTCACTTTACAGCACTTTACTTTATGGTGTTTCACTGATACAGCAGTTTTCAATTATACCCATTCTTCACTTATTTAGACTTCCTACAATAAATATATAAGCTAAGGATGAAAATATTTTTAGGTAGGTAATGTGTGTACTATATATGCATTTTTAAGCCTAGCTGTATTTCTCACTTAACCCTTTCAGGGTCCGTGCCGTAGATCTACGACTTTACGTTGAGGGTCCAAACCATAGATCTACGCCATGAGCTCAGCTCACTCTGATAAGCTGTGAGCGGTAAATTTGGGCCTAGATATGAAGAATACATCTGTGTGGTATGTGTGCACCACATAAAACAAATCCTGCAGCACACAGTGCATAATGAGAGAAAAAAACTGAGACCGTAATTTTCGATTAAAACAGCGAATTTGCAGTATATTTTTTATAGTTGTATTTGTGATTTCTTGGTCTCATTTGATAGAATGGAAGATATATTACAGAAATAGAGATGATTTTGATTGGTTTTAGTACTGGAAATGGCTTGAAACTGAGCTCGAAGTAGCAGAAATGTTAAATTTTTGCCGATTTTCAAGAGTAAACAAATGACCTCACATGTCTAATACACACCAGCTGGTGGGTCTAATATATGCTCACAAATGTGGTGATATTATTTATACAATTATTACAATATTGCATAACAGTAAATCTTCTATTTTTTTGGTTTGAATAAAAATTCATTATGTGAATAAAAAATCAAAATGGAATTAATTTCTAAAGCCTGAAAACGTAATTAATGAACAGAGGAAATGTTAGTTTAGTGCCAGGAATGCCTGCATTGTTTATTATGGACCCTATTTTGAAATTGGAATATTTTGAACTTTGCATTAAATTGGCCAAATTACCAATTTCTGATCACTTTATTTTGCAGTTGAAACAGTTGACTTGGCGATTTCTTGTGCTCAGTCGATAGAATAGAAGTAATACTAGTGAAATAGCTAAGAATTTGGTTGACTGGAATAATGTAATTGGCCTAAAATGGGAGTCAGAGTCGGCAAAATCGCCGATGCATAAATATTGCTGACACATCAAAATTCGCAAGAGCATAATTTTGTCAATTTTCCATCAAATTTTGTACTTTTTGTTTTATTACCTTCAGAAAAAGATTCTCTACCATTTCATAAGAAAAAATAACAAAATTATTTTTTGAAAATTCTTGGACCCTGGTGCACACTTTGAAATTTGGCCTCTGGACCCTGAAAGGGTTAATATATGAAAATGTAAACATGTTATCAGGCTTTTATTTGCATTTAAAAAAGAAAAGAGGTTATGATTTACTTTACAGTGATTTTCACTTTACAGCAGTTGCCTGGATCCTAACTTGGTGTATAAGTGGGGCTCTCCTGTATAGTAATAAAAAAAACAAAACACATTCACCATCATTTATTCAATAGTTGTCTTGCCAGAAGTAAATGGCCATCACTGTTCAAATGATCCTGCAAATTACAGTACCCCTACCCATCCTTCCGACTTCTTTATATGTAAAACATATGCAGTTACAGTAGAACCTCAAATTTCGAATGTATCGCTTATCGAACTCTTTGAAAATCGACCGCTTTTTTTCGAACCAACTTTGTCCCTATTATTGAATTCGCCCCTCCTTTCGAACTGCCTGGTACCGGACCTGTCTGCCAGCCCGCTCTGTCTGTGTCCCCACGCAGGTGGGGACACAGACAGAGCGTGTTGTCTTAGAGATGATATAAGATTAGGAACATCGGACACAGAATCTGTTTGGCTACAGATTCTCAAGGGTCGTGACAAATTAATTTTGGGTGTGATTTATAGGCCCCCAAACCTTGATAAAGAGTGCAGTAAGCTGTTATGGGACGAAATTCATAAGGAATCTAGATATGAAAATGTTGTGTTAATGGGAGATTTTAACTTTAGATAAATTGATTGGAACAATATGACAGGAAATCTTGAGTCTAGTGACTTTCTTGACAAGGTTCAGGATTGTTTTTTAGAACAGTTTGTGACAGAACCAACTAGAGGAAACAGTCTGCTTGACTTGGTTCTTGCCAACAAAGAATCACTAATTAATAATCTTGAGGTTAATGATGAATTTGGGAAAAGTGATCACAAATCACTTTAGTTTCAATATATCATGGAATTACCCAGATAACTGCAATCAAATCTCTGTCCCAGACTTGCGCTTGGCCAATTTCATGGGACTGAAAAATTACCTGGGTGGGCTAAATTGGGATGATGTTACAAAAAACGCGATTTCTAATAAGCTTAGAGATCTCCAGTGAATACTAGAAAGGACTGCCCTTCTAGCATCCAGCCTGTTACTGGGTTTTCGTAACAATTAGTCAGTATCCTTGTCCAATTATCCATTAGAATTCAATAAGAATTATTAGTGCTTCAGGATTACAACTGGTAGGCTACTAACTAGAGAAATTAAAATTTAATAAATTTATTAATCATTAAGTTGTCTAGGCATATATCAAATTAAATTAAATCAATATCAACAAAATAAGAATAATCACTTCTCTCGTGTACAGTATTTTTGTGCTGAAAGCACATATCACATTTATAATTCTTAAGTACCATCTAGTACATTAACATTTAATAATACAATATACAAATAAGTGTGTGTATGTAAGTGCTCTAAGTAGTTCGCTGTGTCTCACGACTCATCTAGACTTAAACAAGTGACTGACGAAGTCCTCGCATAAACTAACTTCTTGACCAACTGGCAGTCAGAACAGTCTGCTTGAACAATAAAAAGAATGCTAAGCCCAATAGCAATATAACAAGCGACTGCGACACAGAATCAGGAACAAGGAGATAATATAACGACACTAAGTAGGGACCATCTGCAGATCCTCCACAAAAGTCACACAACTCCCATACTACTGAATCTAAGTTCAGCATAAGAAAATCCCCGACTGTGACAGTACACAGATACCAGTACAAGTTAGGTCAGAAGCTACAGCTCAGGACCTGAGTTGCTCAGAGTGTCTATGCGACACACAACCTCAGTACAACGTCGAAAATCACTAAGTCTATACAGTGTTCTGTGAACAGAGTCCCACAGAACCTACAACAATAATGAGACAAGAGACGATCTTCCAACAAGGGCCAATAAGGGAGATTTAGGCTTGTCTTGTCTAGAATACGTCCAACCACCAAGCGAGTCTAGACCAGACTGAATACTTCAGGCGAGGTGAGATCACCCCTCTCCCCCTCGATCACGTGATAGCTCCGTGGACAGTTGCTGCCTAGCAACAGAAGCCGGCAGAGTAACGAGCAAAGAGCGATAATTACAGTAGTTAGACAATCAAGACTTGAACTATGAGCACATAATAATATGTTACATCCTACCTAACAAAAGTAACTAAGTCAAATAATAATATAAAGCAATATATTCACGATTTAGCTATTATCACAAATATAAGCAATATAAAATTATATGAAAAGATAATATACATTATATACATATACATCATATACATTGTAACCCATTCAAGGGTTGCAACAGATGACCTGACTATGGGTCAGGGAGGTTATCTTGGTTGCCACTATGAATTTTCAGAGCATAGTTCTAGCTGCTCAGACAACTTTTGTTCGGAGTAGGGAAATTAGATCTAACATAAATAATCCCAAATGGATGAGCAATAGATTAAAACATCCCATTGGTCAAAAGAGAGGCATATATAGGCATATCAAAAGAGGGGATGGGCAGTTAAGAAATCAATATATTCAATTAAAGAGAGAATAAAAGGAATAAGAAAAGGAAAAAGGGATTATGAGGCTAAGGTCGCAAGGAATTCGAAGACTAACCCAAAAGGGTTCTTTCAGGTATACAGAAGTAAGATTAGGGACAAGATAGGCTTACTTAAGAGTAACTTAGGTCAGATCACTGACAATGATAAGAATATGTGTGAAATTTTCAACAGTAAGGCTTTCAATAGAGTTCCACATCAGAGGCTATTGAGGAAACTTAAGGCACACAGAATAGGAGGAGAAATTTTTCCCTGGGTAGAGGCATGGGGAAAATCAGAATGGGGGCACATCACAAGTGGTGTTCCGCAGGGGTCAGTGTTGGGCCTGTTGTTGTTCACTATTTACATAAACGACATACATGAGGGAATAAATAGCAACATATGCAAATTTGCTGATGACACCAAAATAGGCTAGATAATTCATTCTAATGAGGACACTAGAGCACTCCAGGATGATTTGAATAGACTGATGCAATGGTCGGAGAAGTGGCAGATGCAGTTTGATATAGACAACTGCAAAGTTCTAAATGTTGGACAGGAAAATAACCATGCCACATATAAACTAATGTGGATCTTAATACTACTGATTGCGAAAAGGATTTAGGAGTTCTGGTTAGCAGTAATCTAAAACCAAGACAACAGTGCATTAGTGTTCACAATAAAGCTAACAGAATCCTTGGCTTCATATCTAGAAGTATAAATAATAGAAGTCCTCAGGTTGTTCTTCAACTCTATATATCC